CGGCTGGGCTAAACCGCGTCTGCCGAGAGCGAGCGGATGGCATGCAGTTTGTTTGCCGCTGCGGACACAACTTCGGCGACGGTTCAGGAGTCGACGAGGGCACCGCCTTGCAGCATGAGGCTTCGCACACGCGCGAAGAGTGAGTGTAGAGGAATGAGGACCATTTTGTGAGATTGCCTTGGTTGCATTATAGTATAATCTGCCTCGCAGCAGCAGCAGCAGCAGCAGCAGCAATAGCAAGAACAACCCACACAACAACCCACACCAAGGTTGGACGCAACCAAGCAAGGGTGCGCGAATGCGGAGCCCTCGCGATGCAACTGCCGTCGTGTTGTACACACCAAACGTGGTTGTACTGCTGCCCGTGTAGCTGGCAGCGGCGTCTCCGTGTGTGTTGTGATGCTTCCCATGTAACTGGAAGCATCAGTAGCGCGAGCCTCAACAGCAGAGGCAGAAGCCGCAGCGGTAGCTGAGCAGCATGACAACTTGTGACAACGTTTGAGAAAAAAAATGCGCGAAATGCAGACCGGCACCACCCACAAGGCTGTGTGCCACGGGGATATTCGTGCCTCTGCAGAAGAACTGGCCTTTACATTGATTGGTGTCCCCTGCCCTTGCCTGCCACTTTCCGCACGCCCATCGCATGCGAGCAGATCGCGTTCGCCTGTTTGTTGCGAAAATCGCTCAGAAGAATAGCAGTGGCAACAGGGTTTGCACCACGTGCCAGCACTCTTTCGGCTCCGGTGAAGGGCTGACCCAGTTTCATGTGAACCAGCACGAGAGAGATCGACCGCACACATGTGAGGGCGATGGCGGTCGGTGTCCGCAGTTGCATTCTCGAGTAATTTGGACTGCTCACTTGTGCTTACCAACATTTCAAGACCTCGCAAGACCCGTTACTTTGTCTATCCTCGCGGCACGCATGTCGCGCAAAGTATCAATGCGTGCATGCAGCTTTCTTTGTCGATGTGTGCGAATGCGTCGCCTACTACGCAACTTGACACAGTATGCAGTAGAACGATTAGATAATTATTCCGTCTCTCAACGGCGGATCAGTCAATATTTATTCACATCCGCAGGCGTGGTGCTGAAGCTAAGCGTCAGAGGAATGCAATGCTGAGGTTTTTTAAACCGACGATCACACGGGCGGCGGGAAGGGGTCGAGGGACGTGATGGATAGCAGCGGTGGCGCAAGCAGTGACGTTTTGGTGGTTACGACGGGAGTTGCAGGCGGGCGTGAGGGCGGAGCAGGCGCGGGTAGCGACGGTGAGGTGGTTGCGACGGGAGTTGAGGGCGGGGGCGGAGGCGGAGCGGGCGCAAGCAGTGACGTTGAGGTGCTCTCGATGGGAGTTGCAGGCGGGCGTGAGGGCGGAACGGGCACGGGTAGCGACGGTGAGGTGGTTGCGACGGGAGTTGTGAACGGGCGTGAGGGTTGTGAGGGCGCGAGCAGCGAAATGGATGGAACTTTCTCCGACGCTGCACACGAGAGTGGTTCGACCGATATGGTGCGCGTTCAAAACCTCCTCCGCTGCGCGGGATTGCGTCCGAATGTTCGGGAGCCTCTTCTCCAACACTACCCAGCAGCTTTGCATGGTGTCGTCAAAAAGGGGCTGTCGTGGGAGGCTCGGATAGACCCGAATGGCGTGGCTCTTTACGCCGTGGAATCCGTCTCCCGCGGCATCCTGAGCCCAGGTTGTGCTGGAGCAGTGGAAGAACCAGGAGGCACGTGCGAGCCGTGTGTTGACATCAAGGGTAGTAAGGCTTACAGAGGTGAGACCACGTAGCGAAAAAAACGCGAAATAGGAAGGCACAACTAGGAAGGCAAGACCATTTAACTGTCGTACCCTCATTCCACCACACATCATGTACTTTTTTTTAATTGGATTGTTCCCTCTGCACCCCTTCCGTCTTGGAGCAGATCTGGTTCAACGATCGATCATCGTTGGAGCCAGAAGACTCAAGGTTGAAGCACCTTGCTCTAGATTTGTTGACTCCTCACCAGCAACGAGGCAGGCTGACGCGGTGGAAGAAGAAGTTCGAAGTGCAGAAACTGTACACTTTGAACCAACTCAGGAAGTGCGCGACTTTGCATGGTCGTGTTGCACTCGCGAAGAGTATCTTCATTTACATGGCAGACAATTACGTGAATGGCATTCGAAGGTTGATGGCTCAAGCGCGGCGAGACGGCTTGTCGCTGAGTGGTATCATGCATAGGTTAGAGCAGGCGGTGAATGGCAAGTATAGTGCCAAAGGGTTCAGCGAGGATGAGTTTGACTTGGCAATACTGGGAGGGGCTTCGGGGAATAATAAGTACCATCCAAGACAAATTGCTATTATTTGTGGATGGGTGTTGCACGTGGCGAAGGTTCCACCGCCGTAGGCTCATCGACAGCCCCTCTTCGGTATGTTGCCGGCTTGAGTAAGCTTGGAATGATGACGTTTCGACGCATGGGTATGTGTCATTTGGTTGTGTCCTTTCGCCACATTCGACCGAGGTCAAATGTCGTGAACTTGTCGCAGAAGCTTGGAGAAGTTCCAAGTTACTTGTAGCTGAGGGGTTGTCGTCAAGCACTACTTCTGTACTTAAAGACTTGAAAACCAAATAAGAAGTGTCCCCAGCCCATCACAGCTTATTTCAGTACATGAAGTAGCAATCTACACCTTCCTAGTAACAAGGTCCTGCTTGCACGTCGTGCCGTAAACACCACCACACGCAAGCACACGCAATGGAGAAGGAGAAAGCCAAAAGAAAGCCTGTACGAAAATATTCAATATTCCAAAAAAAAAACTTTTTTACACCCCTCCCGGGGGGGGGGGGGGGGGGGAGGGGTTAGGGTTGGAAAATTTTTTTTTTTGGGCCCCCTGCGTGTAACAACCTTTATTTTTTAAGGGAAATAAATGCCGAAAGGAAAAGAAAAACACAATAAAAAGGGATAAAAAAACATTTTTCAAAAAAAAAATATTTGGGAAAAAAATTTTTCAACAAAAAAACCCCAAAATTTAAACGCGACTTTAACTATTAAAAAAATAAACCAAAACCCTTTTTTTTTCGC